GCCGTGGGCAGCAGCGTCTGGGGGGGGCCGTGGGGGGCAGCGTCTGCGGGGCGGGGGAGGGGGCTGTGGGGGCAGCAGCACTGTGCCCGTGGTTCGTGGTAGCTAGCTTGTTGGGAGGTGGCTCAGGCCCCATCTTCAGTGTCCACTGTGTTCTACCTGCTGGCCGTGCTGGCCGCGAGCTTCGCCCGGCTGCCAGCCCCAGCTGCTGGCCGACACGGACCATGTCCACAGTGTCCTGGTGCTCTCCCCTTGCGTGCGCTCAGCCGGGCGTGGGTCCCGCAGGCACTGGGGAGACGGGAAGAGCCAGGGCAAACTCAGTGTCTGGTCCCTTTGCAAGCTCCTTGGGGCTGGCCAGCCCCCCACACACTGACCCAGCTTTCCTCCTAGCTCTGGCAGACACCTCTTTCATGATGGGCCACAGATCTGGGATGGCCAAGCCATGTCGAGACCTGGGCTCTGCCCTACCCTGGACTTCCTGCCTCTCTCCTTCTGAGGTCTGGCTGTGAACACACCCTTCTGAAGGGTCTGTGGGGGTGCATGTCGCTTCCCGGGGGCCTGAGCAGGATAGACTGCTTGTGAGGTGGCATCTGTCAGAGGCCAGCTGACCTCTGAGCTGGACACACTTGTGGCTGTTTGTCTTTCTTCAATTAGTACTTGGAGTACAAACAGCAGATAAAAACTCACCTCAGTCTTGAGACCTTGTCAGTGTCTCCTGCGCAGCTCGGGAGGCCTGCTATGTGCTTCATGCTTGGGGCACAGCCCCCTGGGGCTTCTTCTGGTCATGGTAGGTCCCTCCTGCCCCGTGGATGGAGAGACCGCAGACTCGGTGTCTGGGGGCCGACTGGAGGAAGCCGGGGATAACGGTGTACTGGAGCTGGGCTCCAGAGCCCCTCTGGGCAGCTTGGGGAGATGCTGCATGCATGCAGCATGGAGATGCTGGAGCCCAAGGAGAATGCTGTCAGGTGTGAGGACACCAGTCAGGAGCTGATCCCAACAAGGCAGAGCCTCTGACCCTGCAGAGTGACACTCAGGAGGGGTGCGGCAGGCCCAGGGCGGATGGGCTGGGACAGAGCCTGGACACCTGTGAAGGGGAAGCAGGCAGAGGCTCCCCTGGGGGCATGGTGGGTGCCGGCCACAGGAGCTGACGGCAGATAAGGAGTTGTTCCAATAGGTAGGGGCGCTGAGGCCATGGTGGTGATGGGCAAGGTCTTATCCCGCCCCTAGCCACACTGGACCGTTGAGGGACTTGCTCTGGTGGGTGGGCCGCCTCCCACGGACCTGCAGCTCTGGGGCCACCACAGGAGGCCGGGGAGGAGGGGGTGCCTGCCTGGGGCTCCGTAAGGCGGAGGCAGCGAACTGTGAGTGAGCGTCTTTCCAGCCTTGCGTGCCCCAGGGCTGCAGTGCAGCACCCGTAGCCTGGCCCACTCCCTCCAGGGCGGTCAGTGCTGTGCCCGGCTCTGGGCACTGGGGCTGGAGGCACCCTGCTGCCTTGGCCTGCCTTGGCTGGCTGTTAGCTGCTGATGGCAGCACATGCAGACACACAGAGGGGCTTGGCTTGGGATCTGCAGCTCCTAACTCTGCCTAAAGTGTGTGGGGAATCTGAGAGGAAGGCTTGCTCGCCCTGCTCAGTGCTGCCCTTCAGGGACTGGGCAGACAGGGGGAAAAGCTGTCTGTGAAGCAGAGATCGACAGATAGGAAGCCTTATAAATTTGGCTTGAAGCTGTGCACAGCTTGGGACTTCCATATGACTGATGTTTCCTCTAGGGATAGAAGGACCCTGCAGGAGTGGAGAGAGCAGGCCCAAATGAAGAGGAGGAAGAAGCAGCCCAGCGTTCTCTTGCCTCTGCAGAGGAACCTGGTATGTTGTCTGGATGGTCCTGCTGGACCTGCCTGTGTGAGGACCAGGTGCCGGGCAGGGCTCGCTCGCTGTGACTCCACGGCCAGGGTCTGCTGTGTACAGGGCTCGCCGTGTCTCCACGGCCAGGGTCTGCTGTGTACAGGGCCCACTGTGACTCCACGGCCAGGGTCTGCTGTGACTCCATAGCCAGGGTCTGCTGTGACTCCACGGCCAGGGTCTGCTGTGTACAGGGCCCGCCGTGACTCCACGGCCAGGGTCTGCTGTGACTCCACGGCCAGGGTCTGCTGTGTACAGGGCTCACCGTGTCTCCACGGCCAGGGTCTGCTGTGTACAGGGCCCGCCGTGACTCCACGGCCAGGGTCTGCTGTGTACAGGGCTCACCGTGACTCCACGGCCAGGGTCTGCTACCAGTAACTCCCACACGACTGCCCCCTGCCCACAGCCCCTGGCTGATGGGGCTGGCTTGCTTGGAGCTCACTGCCTGTTGGCTCTGGCCTTTGATGCTGCTCTTGGCTTGCTGAACCGTAGACCCTGAGAAATTAGGTACTCCACAAAGGAGGGGAAGAAGGGTTGAAGGGAAAGGATCAAACACTGCTGTGGTATCGCTGTGTTTCCGGTTACTGTCCTGGCATTCCAGACCCGCACCCCAACCCTTGGAAGGCCAGTTGCCTGGGAAGCAAGGAGCGTGGCATCGTGACCTTGTCCCTGGCCCGGGCGCTAGGCATTCCTGGGACAGCACCCTTATTTCCCCTCAAGCCTCTCGGAGGGCTTGCCCAGTGGGGCACGGTGGTGAGCAGGCTGGTGGGTCCTTGGGCATGGGGTGGGCAGGGTGTCTGTGGATGGGTCACGGGTAGAGCCCTTGTGGAAAGGCTCCCTGACTAGACCTAAGCTTGTGACCCCTCAGCCGGGAAGGTCCCCAGGGGCGTGCTCTGACTGTCTTGACCTTGGCCTTTACTCCCAGCAGCGGGTGCCAGGCAGGCTGCATCTCAGGGAAGCTTGCACAGGTTGAGACGTTAAACATTTTGTGTCACGCTAATTTTTGACCGATAGAAAGTTGCAGGAGCAGCCGGGCGCTGGTGGCTCACGCCTGTAATCCTAGCTACTTAGGAGGCTGAGATCTGAGGATCGCGGTTCAAAGCCAGCCCGGGCAGGAGAGACTGTGAGACTCCTATCTCCAATAAACCACCAGAAAACCAGAAGTGGCGCTGTAGCTCAAGTGGTAGAGCGCTCGTCTTGAGCTGAAGAGCTGAGGGACAGTGCCCAGGCCCAGAGTTCAAGCCCCACGACCAACCAAAAAAAAAAAAAAAAAGAAAGTTGCAAGAGCAGTGCCGAGAGCTCCATATGCTCTTTGCCCAACTTCTCCAGAGGACGTCTTTCGTGACCACCAAGTGGTACCCCAGTGGTGTCCATGGTGGTAAGCTGTGAGGACGCCGTCCTCGGCTCCTCTGGCCTGGCCCCTGTGGCACACAGTCCTGGTGTCCCTGCAGTGTCTGCAGCCCCACGTGATCCTGTTTGTCCTGCCCCTCCTGACCCGGCGCCCTGAGCAGCCTGCCCGGCCACTCTGTGCAATGTCTTGCTGGATGTCCTCTTTCTCCAAGCCACCTGTGGCCGGTCCGTCCTGACCCACCAAGCGCTGTTCTCCCCTGGGGCTTGCTGCCTTCCCTGGGTGCCGAGCAGGCTCGCCGCTCTGCCTGGCAAGAGCGTGTCCCCGTCAGGTGGGCCCTCAGGACAGAACATCCTGTCTGGTCTCTGTCACCAAGTCCTCTTACCACTCACCATCCCTAAACTGTCTTTGTTCATCCAACCAAAACAATGATTCGTTAGCTTTAGAAAAAAGAACAAAACAACGGGACCTTTTGCCTTCTGGAATGTCCTGGGAGAGTGGTAGAATTACAAGGTGGATCTAATCAGGCGTTGGTGCTGCCAAGGTCCCTGGCCTCTGCCTGGTGGCATGGCCACAGTGACTCTGCCGCCTGACACGAGGAAAGCTAGAAGAAGGAGGGTTGCAAAAGTAAAATCCTGGAATGGCAGGGTGCCATTGGCATCCTAGCTGCTCAGGAGGCTGAGATCTGAGGATTGCAGTTCAAAGCCAGCCCAGGTAAAAAAGCCCCCACGAGACACTTACCTCCAGTTAACCACCAGAAAACTGGAAGTGGATCTGTGGCTCAAAGTGGTAGAGTACAAGAGCTCAGTGACAGAGCCCAGGCCATGAGTTCAAGCCCCACTACCAAAAGGAAACAATAATGTGAGTAGATAAAGAGCGTGAGCGTCTTCTGATAGCGGTAGAGAGCTGAGCAAGGCCGCTGCACAGCCACTGAGCACTAGAGGGCGGGTCTCAAAGCTGCAGCCGACTTTCCATCTGTCCAGCAATAGAGGAGACACGGTTTCCATCTAAGACTCATTTCGGGAATAAACTGTTCCCGTTCTATCCCTGAGAAAGTCCTCTTTAGGAAGAAGCAGGTGACACCAAGAGCAGGTGCTGTCTGGGAGAGAGGGGCCGGGAGGGGCCGTCATCCCGCGCTGCGGCCTTGAGAGGCCAGGCTTCAGGGTGGCAGAGCCATCTCGGTCTCTGCTGGCCATGGGCGGGACCCATGCCAGCGTCAGGGCCTTGGGACCCCAGCAGAGCCAAAGCCTGGGTAAGTCACCATTGCGTATGTAACAATTAACACTATCCTGTCACTTCCAGGACTCAAAATATATGTCCAATTAGATACTCCCTGGCAAAGTGGCTGAAGTGGTAGAGTGCTTGCCTAGCAAGCACAAGACTCTGAGTTCAAGCCCCAGTACTGCCGAACAACAGCCACCGCCACAACAAAGAGGGCTTCCAGAGTGAAATGTGGCTATTCTCACCAGAAAGGGAAGAGTTTAAATGTCATAGGTGTCAACAGCTGAAAAATAGTTTAAAACCAAAGTATGTGGCTAGCAGAACTGCCGAGCTGGGTCTCACATCTACTGACTTTGAGGGGAGCGGAGAACATGATTGTTGGTTAAACTCATAAGCTGGAATCTGCTCAGGAAGTATAATGCCTATATATTTTAGATTTATACCCCCCAAAGCCCCTCAAAAGGATATAACCCTTCAAAATACTGCTAGGACACAGGAATCGGGAGGGAGGGAGGAGGCGGCAGAGGCCGGGAGGGAGGGAGGAGGGGGCAGAGGCCGGGAGGGAGGGAGGAGGGGGCCAGGCAGTAGAATCCCTGTGGTCAGCATGCTGGAGGCAGCCGCAGAAGGCCCACGTCAGATGCCATCAGTTACAGATTCCCTTTGAGGTGTGGCTGGTGCGCCTCCAGTCGCTGGCCAAGGCTGCAGTCCAAGTATGTAAGAAGATGTCGGTGTCTATATGTAAAAATGACTATAAACGGATATGGAGAACTCTGAGATTCTTCATAGGAAAATAAGCAGAGGAGGTGACAGGCAGGTGACAGAGGAAGAGCAGGGCTGTGAGTGCATGTGAGCACGCTGTGTGAAGGAACGGTCGGCCGGAGGGGGGCAGCGCTGAGCGGGCGGGGGTGCGCCCAGGGAAGTCCAGGCCTTGGCAGCCGCAGCTTCCTGCAGAGCCTTCTCATCTGAGCCTGCCTGCGCCCTGAGCACCTTGGAGAACCATCCACCATTTAGCAGAGATCAAGGCTATTAGGTCAAACATACTTAGGAAGAAGGATGAGTATTTGTGTGTTTCAGAACTGTTTGCAGAGGCTGGCACCCAGGAATAAAACTAGGATTCACATTAGAGCAGCCGTGGGCTGAGGGGAAGAGAGCTTCCGGTTTATACTGGCTCCTGCAGTTGGGCACAGGGACAGGAGAGGGCGCCAGGGCCCTTTGTGTGTGGCTGCTGTGGCCACTGCAGCGGGGCCTGGGCGGCCACAGGCAGCCCTGCAGCCTGGCTCCCACAGTGCCCGCCCGCCCGCCAGGGCCTGGCTGCCGGAAGCCCACACAGGGCTGGGTGCCGAGTGGGAGCCTTCGGAGCCAGGGCCTGACTGCAGAACCGTGTCTCTGTGCTCCACTTGGCTGTGGAGCCAGCAGTGTGCCAGCGACCTCTGTGTGCCACGGCATGCTCGACATTCCCACGGGAATGAAAAGCTTGGCACGGGGCCCCGGGCAGCTGCTGCCACGGCTCGCGCCGTGCCACGCTGCCCACGTTCCACAGCCACGCACCCACTCTGATTCTCATTAGGGAGCGGGCTACGGTTTGTAGTAATAGTAAAGCATGTCTTATCGGGCCTCTTCCCAAATAATGTTTTTAAGATTTAAGCCAACTCGATGTCTGACGGTGAGCTAGCATGCTGTTTCTTTCTGCTGGAGTGGGGGAGGGCTGGGTCAGTCCTGCCTTGCTGACGGTGCATCAGCTCGCCCAGCCAGCAGACACTTCATCCTGGCTTGCTCGGGCCCTAGCAGCTGAACGGGGTGCATACAGGAGAAGGGTACGGTGCTTCATTGCTAGACGAGGCCCTGGCACTGGTGACCCACCTAGAGGGAGTGGCAGATTGAAGAGTGCCCGACGTTGCCCATGCTGCCCCTTCCAGATCGCAGATGGGAGGAGCTCTGGCAAAGGCTCACTGCCTCTCTACATCCCGTACCTGCCACAAGCCCTGTTTAGCTTATGCACAGAGCCTGCAGTCCCCATGCAAACAAGCACGTGCAGCTATGCACACACATGCTTACATCCATACAGACCCAAAGCTCCCAAGGTCAAGGCAGAGCTGGCTCTCAAGCTCAGCCACTGTGGGCCGCAGTGAGCAGCACTGGCTGCTACCCCCTCGGTGCCTTTGCCTAGTGCCTCACGTCGGGGTGTCTGCAGAAACAGCCCCTGCGGGAAGCTGGCGCGAGTGCTGTGTAGGGCACGGAGGGACCAGACGAGAATGTGTTCGGGATTGGCTCAGCAGAGCAAGGAGCCCCCAGAGGACAGGGAGTCAGGGTAGTACCGAGCAGGACTAGCGGAGCCCCGATGTGGGGCAAAGCTGGCTCCGTCTGGGAGCCCTCACAGATGGGGTGGAGAGGCTCCAGATGTGGCAGAGCCAGGGACCAGCAGCTGCCCAGCCACAGCCTGTGTTGGTGAGCGGGGCGGGGCGGGGCAGGGCTAGTAAGCAGGGAGGCCTGAGTTTATGCACCAACCAAAGCTGGGTGAGGAAGTCAGACCAGGCAGGCATGTCCGGTAGGCAGAAACCCCGGGTGACATCACGGGTCAGGAAGAGAGCACCCTGAGCGTCTCGCCTGCAGCGCTCGCCGCAGCTTGTGAGGACTCTGTCCACCCCCAGGATGCTCCCACACCACCACATCGGGCGTGGGCAGGACCACTACTGAAGCCTTGTAGAGAGGAGGAGGGGCATCCACGGCAAGGGGCCGTGGCAGTGCTGAGAGCCGCCTCGACCTCTGTCAGCCCAGCTCTGGGCCTCAGACATCCGCCTGTGTCCCTGGCACATTGGGTACTGTCTGCTGTCCCTGGGGCTACGACGGTTTCTGTGGGGAGCTGCAGTGTCCCTGGCCGGTGATCTTTGCAGGCAGACTCACCCAGTACAAAGCTTCTCCTTCCTTTCTCGCCTGTTTGTGTCTCCTGTATTAGCTTGAAAATTCATGCTCTAAAATTTTGGCCACAACTGTGGAGGACTGTTGTCAGCAATGTAGCTTACGTGAGCCATAAGGCTGCCTCAGGCTCACGGGAGGGCGCCTCCCTCTGGGCTTCCCTCTGCACGAGCGGTCGGACAGCCCCTGGGAACTGGGCAAGCCAGGAGTGCGGCGAGAGCGCCGGCATCAGGCGTGACCCTCTGGACAGCCACTGGCTGGCCTTTGGGTTGAGAACCACTTGATGCACCTGGTACACGTGCTCAGGCAAAAGCCTTCCCTCGGAAGACATCTTCTCCATTTTCCTAGGTGGCATCCAAGATCTCATTGAGCACAAACCTCGCAAATCAGGGGCAAGTTCCAGCTAACCCACTTGAGAGGACGAAACACAGGAAGGAGAAACCCATGCAAGAGAGCACAGACACTAAGTATGCTGAGTGCCCCGAAGGGCCTTGATGTGCTGGGAGCCGGGGCCCGCACCCTGGGGGGCCTGGGAGTCGGGGCCCGCACCCTGGGGGCCTGGGAGCCAGGGCCCGCACCCTGGGGGACCTGGGAGTCGGGGCCGCACCCTGGGGGCCTGGGAGCCAGGGCCCACACCCTGGGGGCTTCCTGTAGCCAACCTCTGCCAGGTGACCACCGGGCCTTGAAGGCTCCCTGGGCCCTCTGCAGGTGCCCTGACCCACCCCAGCTCCTCTGTCCCTAGCTCTGCCCCCAGTCCCCAGCCCTGGTCTGCCTGGACCTGATCTCAGGACTCAGGTGACCCACCCTGGCCATAGGCGTGCAGACACGCTAGGCAGAGCTGGCAGGTTGCTAGACATGTAGGGCTGTTACACCGAGAGGTTAGCTGGCCGGTGGAGCTTGGGAGAGCGGGAGTGCACTGGAGAAGTGGGGCGCCACCCAGTGATTGGAAGGAGGGGGAGCTCAGGACAGCATAGTCGGGGGTCACACTGCGCAGGCGAGGACAGCTAGTGAGGAGGGGCCGCTGGCAGCTCAGATTCCACGGCCTGCTCTGCCGTGTAAGTCACATTCACAGAGAACACCCGCCCCAGAGGGAGGGAGCAGTTTGCATCCTCAGTCTGAGTTTCTGTTGCTCCGTTTAACCATGTGGTAAAAAATGTTTTTCACACACAAACATGTTCTTCACGTGATTGTGTGCCACGTGCAGCATCCTCTGCACCGGTCCCTCCCTCTCGGTGGAGCGTGGTACTGCAGCTTTAAAACCACCCGGGCAGCGATAGGAGTGTGGCTGGGTGCAGGCGCCCCGAGCCCCACCTCAGCCATGGGGCCTTGGGCCTGTACGCGGCCTGTGGAGAAGCGGTCCACTTTGTCCTGGGTGGGGACAGGGACGGCCAGACGAGATCCCGCCTCAGGGTTTCTCTGTCCTCAGTGCCGCTCGGCTGGCGGATCTGGAAGAGAGGATTCGGCAGCACATAAAGCAGCTGCAGGCACACAGGAGGCTACAAGGCACCGACCTGCTGCAGGAGGTGAGGACGGCCGTCCAGGACCTGGAGACCGTGAGTGCTGCCACCTTGTTAAGGAACTTGTCCCCCTCAAAGCACCCTCTGCCATGGGGCCGCGTCCACCCGGTCTGCCGTGCAGATGCCCTGGAGTCCTTGCTGTTGAGATGAGACGCTCAGCCGCGTCAGGCCCGCAGCCTGGCCAGGGCCGATGTCCAGCCGCATCAGGCCCACCGCCTGGCCAGGGCTGATGTCCAGCATCACCCCAGCAGCCCCAGAGACAAGGACAGGATGGGGATGGAAACTGGGGTCTTTACTTGAGGTTTCCCAGCCAGAAGAGCAGACTAGGGCCCAGGCCTGGCCCTGGGGTTGCTGTTGGGCCAGGGGCTGGGCTGTGGCACTGTGCCCTGTGGCCTCTGCCCCTGTAGTCATGTGGGTTGCAGTGATAGCAAGCTAGCCTCCCTCTGGGTTGTGTGCATTCTCCCCGCCTCCCCTGCTGCCGGCCGGCGGTGGTCAGCATGGGAAGCAGAGGCCTTGCCGACAGACATGGCCAGCCCCAGCCACAGCCGAGGAAGCAGACGCCATCCGCCCTTCTCACAGCCACGGAGTCGGTCTGCACCCCCGCACCCCCCCGGCCAGCCAGGCCCTTCCCGTGGCGTATCCTCACCAGCACGCCCACCCCCGTGTGGCCACACGGCTCCTGGCGCTGGGCTGAGGCCGGGGCACCATCCCAGGTGGATGTCCTTGGGCCCTGGCCTCCATATCTGCCATGTCCACCACCCAGGGTCCGCACAGCCCTCACGCACCTTGGTTCACCGTCACCCCACCAGGAGGACAACATGCAAACAAAACCAACATGGACTCCTTGGGCCCCAGAGCCATTCTCTGCTGTAGGCGAGATCGGCTTTCCCACTGGTCTCTGTGTTAGAGTCCTAAGTTTTAGCGGGGTACAGGAACCCCCAGCTACACTTCCTAGCCACCTACAGATGGATACGCGCAGGTGACCATGTTCTGATCAACAGGATGAGAACACACGTGCTCCAGCGCCTGTCTTCTCTCCTCCCAGCTGGAATGCAGACACGAAAGCGAGCGCTGGGGCAGGTGTCCCAGACCCTGAGGTGCAGGCCAGGTTGGAGGGTGAGCGACGGCCGCAGGGAGTGCGTGTCTCCACGGCCGGCACGGCTCTCCCAGGGAAACCTCAGAGAAAGGCCTCAGTGCAGAGTGCGTTGCGTGCCAGCAGGACTGAGCCAGGGACGCCCAGCCGGGGGAAAGCCCTGCGTCAGGACCCAGACACAGCAAGCAGCCGGGTGCTGCGGGTGGACGGAGGAGTCTGCAGGTCAAGCTGGACACAGGTGTCAGTCCAACAGCTGGTCGCCCTGTGGCGCCCACCCCGCAGGCCTCACCAGTGTGGGGACCATGGCCACAGCTGCTTCCTGAGCTCTGAGGAGGGGGTGTTCGCCGGCGTGTGCTGGGTGCACCAGCCCCACTGCCACCCCTGCCCCGAGCTGCCTCTCCAGGCTCTAGGAAGCACTCCAGGCAGGTGCAGCCTGCCGGGGCACCTTCACAGGGGTGGTGGTGGTCTCATGCCCCATCCTGCCAGTGTGGGGAGCCAGAGAGCACAGTGCTGAGACCCAGACTGGCCAGGAAGTGGGCCTGGGCCCAGGGGAGGCCCCCCCCCGTGAAGGCCAAAAGGAAAACTGCGTGCCAACACCGTGCATCATGGCAAGGTGCCATGAAGGCCACGCCCAGCTCGCCCAGAGGATCGCTTCATGGTACAGAGTGACAAAAAAATGGTAAAACTTAAAAGACCAACGGATGAAAGTGAAAATAGAGGCAAGATTTAAGAAAGAAAAACCCCAGAGGACTGATCTAAGAGGCCAGAATTGCAGGGGCGAAGGTCATCAAAAGCAGAAGGCACACACCCAGCCCGGAGCCCGCTGTGTGCCCCAGCAGCCTTGCGGAGCAGGCAGTAATCTGCCCGCCACCAGGGATTGTGCAGAGCAAAGGCCTGAGCAGAAATGCTCCCTCCCTCACAGCGTTTCATTGGGAGCCATTGTAGGATCCATCGTGCCACGAAGAGGGAAGTGGCCAGGAGCAGAGCCCAGGGCTGCTCTCATCCAATGACAAGAACACACAAAAAAGTAACGCTTCGGAAAGGAGGCAGAGGCTGAGAGTTTGCTGAATCAATAGCAAATACTGTTTATCCTACGATACAGTGAGATTCCGGGACCCACTGCTGGGCTGTGGCTTCATCAAGGAGGCGGCCCAGGAGACGGGGCTGGAGAGGTGGTTTGGGGAGCTGAGCTCCTGAGGCCCGTGCCTGCTCCCCGGCGCTCCACTCTGCCCAGTCAGCCGGACAGCATGGGATGGACGGGAGACAGGAGCACACACGTGACTCAGGCCCAGGCCTTCCTCCTCTGGGCCTGAGTGCCGCAGCATCCCGGCTCGTCTGCTCCCCAGGCCGCGGCTGGGGGGTGGGTGGGGGCGGGGGCGGGGGTTGGCACAGAGCTAGAGGGACTCTGTTCACACAGTCTGGGGCTAGCTGAGGACACCGAGGTAAGTGGCCCACAGTTGTCTGTGGGCAGAGGAATAAATGAGACCAGGCTGGAACAGCCTGCACAGTCCCCCCAACAAGGGCCGTGCCAAGATGCAGCCTGTGGGGTGCCCCATGCGCCGACTCTTGGCTCCCCAGCCGTGGGCCTTGGGGCCTGCCTGTCTCATGCTCAACCCTCCTCTTTTCCACAAAGGCCAAGAAGCTGCAGGAGGAAGTGATGAAACTGAAGCAGGAGTCGACCTTGAACAAAGGGCACTAGCTTTGCTTGTAGAGGCTATTCGCTTCACTCACCGGAACCGCAACTTCAAAATATCTATTTTGACAGAAAGTAGTATGAAACAGGCCCTTCCAATGGGGAGCATCCACACGGGAGCGCGCTGCCCGGCGTGCTGGGGCTGGGCAGCCCCTGGTGTTCACAGCTCCGGCCCTGTTGCGAGGCCGCATTAAACGAGAGTACTATGAACACGCTGTGTCCTGGTCGCTTCCACACCCGGGTTGTCAGCGCCTCCCAACCCTACCAGCCCCGACCACAGATGAGCTCAGCTCTGAGTTTCATTAACTTCTGCATTGCATGTGGGCAGGGGGAGGGCGCCCGGGGAGCAGGCAACAGCCACGCATCCTGCTCGCGCTCCACAAAAGTGTCCTCTGCTCTTGTCGACCCTTATGCTTGCACCAGGACGCCAGCCCAGGGCTCACCAGCCCAGGACCCACCGTTCTGCAAGCCCCCGGCCCCTGACCTGTTTAACCCACCGGCTGCCCACCTCCTCCGCCACTCAGGATTGCGAGGCCCAGGCTCTGACGGCCTGGGCGTGACTGGATTTTAAGCCAGGCTGCCTTCACAGATTTGGGACAGCGCTGGCCATCTTATGCCGGTTTGAGGGGCAACCGGCCTGCTCCTCACGCAGCCCAGCCGCCAGCTAACTCGCCACTCTGGACCCTGGTTCCCTCAACACACAGTGGATGAGGGCTGCCCTTTCCTGCACACGAGGAGGCCACAGGTGGCAGATTTGGGGTGTCTGGGCGGGTGCGTTTGTGTCATGGGTGCTTCTCTCGGCTTCTACTCTGCTGCCACATCTCCTTCCCACCTTTGCAGTGAGAAACCCTCTGGCATCGCAAGACCTCCCCTCTCCCGTCCTGCCGCCACAGGCAGGCTGGGCTCCTGGGCTCCCAGTGACAGGAGGTTTCTGAAATGGCAGCCTCAGCCAGCGGTGGCTGCTCCTTGTGAAGTCGAGTGGTCGGTACTCAGCCCGGCAGCTCACACTTGCAATGGTCACTCCTTGGCAGAAACTGGAGGGTGATAGAAGCCAGCCCAGAAATAAGAGTTCTCGACTCCATCCCATTCAGAGGCTGGGTGCTGTGGCTCGTGCCGTTTATTCTGGGCCACATGGAAGCCCTGGCAGGAAGCTTCCCAGACTGCACAGGCACACTGACGTTCTCCTGTGAAAGTAACCCAGGAAAAAGGCACTGGAGGTGTGACTCAACTGACAGGTGCGGAGTTCAGATTTTAGTCCAGTGCCCTCCCCCCAAAATGGAGCGCTGATTGGTAGAAGTGGTCAAGGGTGAACCTACTTATTTTGCCAATCCTGGGGCTTGAACTCAAGGCCTGGGCGCTGTCCCTGAGCTGCTTTTGCTCAAAGCCAGCGCTCTGCCATTTGGGCCACTTCCAGCTTTTTCTGTGTGTGTGGAGCTGGGGAATCGAACCCGGGGCTTCATGCATGCGAGGCCAGCGCTCTACTGCTGAGCTGCCTTCGCAGCCCTGAACTCACTGACTCAGGCCATCAGCCCCCGAGCCCCCGTCCCCAGCAGAGGGTGTTCAGGGCAGGAGTACCATGGGCCTAAAGCCACCAGTGGCACAGGACCCACCGCAGCAGCGGCCACTCTGCCAGTGCGGGGCCCACCGTGCAGAGCCGTGTGTCGGTATGACGCACGTCCAGCAAGGACCCATGTGCTAGCCTTGCCCACGGAGGCTCGGCTTGGGCTCCTGGTTTCTCAGAGTTGGGCCCCCCAAACGAGCACCAAGCACACAGCCCCGTGGGCAGCCCTCCTGGGCATTTAGAACCTAGAGGCTTGTCCCAAGAAGCCCCAGCGTGTGGCTGGAAGTGGAATCCAGGGGACCCAGTGATGCTCCGGGGTGCGGTGCAGACCTCAAGTAGATGTGGCCCTGGCCAAACACACTGCAACCGCGGGAGAAGCCGAGCCAGGCAGACATCCCAGGCCCAGGCCTGCGGTTGTCCGACAGACCAGGGGGCTGCGGTCCTGGGCTCCAGCGGCTGGGCCAGGGCTAGCTGTCTTGCTGTACTCCGCTGTGTGGGCCTAGCATTGCGGTCTCCCAGGGGTCCGGGCTGACAGCACCAGCCTGCCAAAACCCAGGGGCACAGGCACGTTTCGGGCCGGGACTCACTGTGGGACTCTGAGCCGCTCAAGGCTCATGGGAGCAGAGCAGCTGCTTCCATCCACGTGGGAGCAAATAGGCGGCACCAGCCCCAAGCAAAGGGCTGCTCGGCCCCACCCTGCCGGCCCCGGCCGCCCTCCCTGGTCTGGCACCGGCCCCTGTGGCGGCCAGCAGCTCCCTGCGGCCGCACCCAGCAAGCGCAGACTCCCTCCAGGTGGAGCAGCCTGCTGTGGGCAGGGGTGAACACGGGGTCCGAGGACAGACCTGTGGCTTCCATGACCATGGAATTCCTAGCCCCGTCCGGCAAGGCCTCCCTTCACAGAGCCCACGCAGCACTGGCCATGGAATTCCTAGCCCCGTCCGGCAAGGCCTCCCTTCACAGGGCCCACGCAGCACTGGCCATGGAATTCCTAGCCCCGTCCGGCAAGGCCTCCCTTCACAGAGCCCCCGCAGCACTGGCCATGGAATTCCTAGCCCCGTCCGGCAAGGCCTCCCTTCACAGGGCCCCACGCAGCACTGGCCATGGAATTCCTAGCCCCGTCCGGCAAGGCCTCCCTTCACAGGGCCCACGCAGCACTGGCCATGGAATTCCTAGCCCCGTCCGGCAAGGCCTCCCTTCACAGAGCCCCCGCAGCACTGGGGTTCCCAGAAGCCCAGTACAGGGCCAGCGGAGGAATTGTCCATACCTCATGGAGGCCACTGAGGCCCAGGGGGGCTAGGCATGTCCTTCCCCCTCCCCCATTATGCCCCCCCTCTGTCATTCTGGCTCAGAGCCCATGCCCTTAGCCAGTTCTCCACACCACATCCAGGCAGTTCTGTTCCCAGCCAGGTCTGAGCGTTCTCTCCTGGGAAAGCCCTCTCTCTGGATGCCCGCAGGTCTTGGCTGCCTCCGGAGCAGACCCCACAGTCTGGCAGGAACAAAGCTGGTCTTACCAGTTCAGAACAGAACAGAAGCTCCCAAGGCTCTGTGGCCTGGGAGAGGTCCAGGTTTTTAGGCCGCAGATTCCCTAAAATCCTGCCTCAGAGAGGACAGACCTGTGGCCTCGGGCAGCCTCAGAGCTGGGACTGTCTGCAAGACACACTGTGGGGGAGGCCTGCATGCCACGGACCCCTCCCACTGCACCACTGGGGTGCCTAATGGGGACGGTGTTCGAGCCAGACCTGCAGGAGGATGCCGCTCTAAAAAGACAGAGTGGGCAGGGCACTGGTGGCTCGTGCCTGTCATCCTAGCTACTCAGGAGGCTGACATCTGAGGATCGAGGTTCAAAGCCAGTCCAAGCAGGAAAGTCCATGAGATTCTTATCTCCAATAAACTACTCAGAAAACTGGAAGTGGCGCTGTGGCTCAAGTGATAGAGCGCTCGCCTGGAGCTGAAGAGCACAGGGACAGCGCCCAGGCCAGAGTTCAAGCCCCACAACTGACATAAAAAAAAAAAAAAAAAAAGACCAGGGCAGGCATGAAGCTGGTGGCCAGCTGAGAGGGGTGAATCCCAGAGCCCATAACACAGGGAGAGAGGTGGCAGCTAGCCTTCCCTCAGGCCGGAGCCTCTGCTGTATCCCAGCCTGTCCGTCCTGGTCACCAAACCCAGAGCTCCAAACAGCTTGCTGCCCTCAGCCCTCACACTGTCTTCCTTCTTACTTCGGGTCCGGCCAGACCGGCACAGGGCAGGCCTTCCCTAGGCTCTGGGGCTGAAGACTTTAAGGATTCAAGTCCCTGAAGGTGAGGTCTACAGTCTGAAGGAGGCCTTACGCACAGCGCTGCTCTCCTGCCCAGGGCAGGCTGTGGGACGCTCATGGCAGCAGCTGTGCACAAGGCCAAATCCTGCCCGGGCCTTCCTCCTGAGCGACACGCATCTTGGGGGCTGCTTCTAGAGGAGGCACACAGATATACCGCCCCCCACCCCCTGGGCCCCACACAGCTGGGTACTCAAGAAACGCCCACAGCCTGCCAGGAACAGGGAGGGGGTGAGGAGAGCCAAAGGGGAGTGGGCAGGCAGGGCTGCTGAGACCCTGGGGGCTGTCACTTCTTCACACTGCTAAGCCTTCTCCTGCTAGGCGCTGGCTGATACTCCTTTTACATATTCTACCTAGAGAGCAGTCTTTTAAAAATGGTTCCCAGTCCACTTAAAAGACCCAGCACACAGCAGCACCCAGGCACAGCCAGCGGCCAGTTCTCCCGCTCTCCACCCGACAGGCGGACACGATGGCTGTCAGCCTCAGGTGCTCAGGTCTCAGTGTCCCGCCGCTGCTCTACCTGCACCACCCGTTCCGCTCCCTCCGGTGGTTACAAGGAAGCCTTTCCCCACTGGGTCAGGGCGACCCCATCCTCAGACACCAGTTCACACCACCGAGTGGCAGCCCTTCCTGCAGACCCCTCCACATTGCCAGGTTGTACTGACCCAGCAGCTGGGAGGCCCCCTGCCCTCCAGCACCTTCCCAGACCACCCCGCCCTGTGCCCACAGCCCCCTGCGCCTACAGCCCCATGCACCCACAGCCCCCTGCGCCCACAGCCCCCTGCACCCACAGCCCCCTGCACCCACAGCCCCCTGCGCCTACAGCCCCATGCGCCCACAGTCCCCTGCGCCCACAGCCCCCCTGTGCCCACAGCCCCCTGCGCCCACAGCCCCCTGCGCCCACAGCCCCCTGCGCCCACAGCCCCTGCCCTCCAGCACCTTCCCAGACCATCCTGCCCTGCGCCCACAGCCCC